ATGGTATCAAAGGTACCTAGCAACGCCATGTACCTTAGTGATTACATCACCTTGTAGAGCTCATTAGTTTCTTTCTATTCTTTAACAAGAAATTTTCATTGCCCTTATTGATTGTATTTAATTCATAATCAGGATCATAGAGCGAACCAGCGCCAGTTTCCCTCGTCTTTTTGGGAAGGAGTTCGTGAAGGAGCCTGGTGGGCAATGGTCACAATGACGACCGTTGGGTAAGTAGAAAGAGTACCGCCACGTGATATGAGTAGGAAACCCCTTATTTGTTTTCAAAAGTTTATGAATAAAATTACTCCTTTGCGTTAAGTAATTCATACCTGCACTTATGGCTCCCCATAGGATTATCATTCTTGTTTTGATCGTAGAGCTTGAGCGTCTCAGTTACCCCTAGAGCTCATAATAATGCCGGCGGATTCATGGCAAGACCAGCCTTCCCGGAAAGGTCGAGGGATATAGGAGACAGATTAAGTGCGATCTCAGTTCTGGCCCTCTACGTTGGGGTTTCATCACATGGGCTAAATACCATGTTCTCTAAAGAGGCACATGTTGTAAACCGAGCGCAATTATAATGAAAATCAAAAAGCTCAAACGGGGAAGGCTCCCGTGTAGGGAAAAAAGAAAGTCCTTTCATTGATAGCCGCAAAACTAAGGTCCACCACATAATGGCGGATATTGAGGACTATGGTAGCAGTGGCAGATCCATGGGAGGGGCCGGGGTACCCGGGTCCCCCCTTATTTTTGGACCAAACTGAGGCCCGAAGGGCCGAAAATAATGTTTTTGAGCCCCCCCCCTTCTCTCAGGGTCTGGATGACCGCCCCTCCACCCCTTATCTGAAGGTCTGGATCCGCCACTGGGTAGAGGCGGAGGTGAAGTAACACAAGCGACCAAAGAGATGACGACATATCAGACCATTTAGTGTTAGGAGTGAGTGAAACTAGATGGACGTTTACAGGATCGATGAGGCTGCTAAGATGACGAGGCATGTAAAGGTGGAATGGCCAACATGATCAGCACGAGGGTCAAGTGAGCCTTGATGGAATGGATGGTGAAGGCACGGTTCTATTCGAAATACACAACGCTGACTGTGATACAAGTATTAGCACTGGCGATTAAAACCAAACTAAAGAATAACCATTGCTGCAAAGTACTGAAGATCCTCAACAATCAAGACATGATCCCAGGGATGGGAGCTCTAAACACCATTTACAGTCAGGGGAGATAAAACAATGTTGGAGTTATGAATAACAGCGGTGAGAGACCATGCGACCTATGCAGTATAAGTGTCATTGAAACGATATTCCTGCAATTAAACCTGCAAAAAGAGATTCACCAGGTGACCATCTTTTAGTAAATGGCTGCATGAGAACATCAACAATGGAGGGGGGAGAGTAATGATGATAGCGGTCAAATGCAGTGACTACCTCCTGGTCAAAACTGAAATGACGGGAAAGTTGGCGAGGAATGGAGAGAAGACGGAAGGGAGAGTTTTGAAGCAAGTAAGCTGCAGAGTGAGAAGATCGCTAAGAGATCAAAGTTGAGGAAAAGAAAAGAGTGAGAGTTAGAATACACATAATGGACTTCTGATCGAACTGGTTTGGGCTCTTCCAATTCAGCCCAAAATCCCGGAAATTTCGCTTAGAAACCAAATGGAACGAACCATTTTGGTACGATCCGACCGGAATATTTGGGACCACCTTTGAAGTTGGTCTACTTTGACCGGTCAGCTGATGGTGGTTTTAAGGTAGTTCACCACAGTCTTAATCCATAGCTCGGCTAATGGCAGTCCACCACATTGATGGTTTCCGTTTAATAAATTCTCCCAACGTCTCGCGAAACTATGATATATTTCACGTGATTTCCGCAATTCTTTTGTGTTGCAAACAGATTTTGGGCAGATTTCTCGAACTTTCCGTCTGATCTATCACGTGCAAAAAACCAACGATCACTTGCCTCGAACTTGCCGCGTTTTGCCTAGCTTTTTCGAAATTGATCTTTAACTCATGAAAGCGCGTTTTTTCTGGCGGGAAATACGTGGTTGCTCAGTGCCCTGATTACTAACATCAGTGATATGGAATAGTCATAACATCAGCCACTGGTAAGAGTTCTAAATTGTATCAGCGCAGTTTAACATCATAATATTAGACTGTGGATAATTCACCACGCGCCATCTATATATATATATATATATATATATATATATATATATATATATATATATATATATATATATATATATATATCCTGCAGGAGCCATAATCTGGAGACCGTAACTGGATACTTTTTTCGTTAATGGGGTTGGTTTCATCGAAATAGTCAAATTTGCCCAAGCCCTCGCATCTCTTTGGAGGGCGCCGCTCAAAGAATAAACAAACCAAAATGGCGTCGGCAATTACCTCCATGAGAAGTGAATAAATTCCATTTCTGGCATTATTTCCTCTCCTGAATTTGAGGCAAGAACTTGAGGAGAACCTTTTCGACGATAAATTTGAATGCGTGGACTGTGACTGTGATTCCAGACGTGTTATCACCGTAGTGAGAATGTTTTTGGTAAACCCAGTGAAGAATAGATGTCGTGCGATGCTTGCACGCGGGGAAAAGGAGGGTGGAAAGTTAAAGTTTTGGAGAACTTCAAGCCATTTTAGAGCGAGATTTTAATTTGATATGCGATTGCTGAAAACAAATTGGCCATAAATGTGAAGAAGACTAAAGTCATGCTTGCCGGAAGTATTAAAAAAGACCGTGCTTTTTCGTCATTTGATGATGTCAACTTACAAATGAATGGTACACAAGTTGAACTTGACAGTAATGTAAATATCTTGGAGAGGGGGCGACCTCCAAAAAAATTTTTTCGACCCTTGTCGGGCCTCATTTGGTCTAAAAATAAAGGGTGGCCCGGGCCCCCAGGCCCCTCCCCCGGATCCGCCACGGATTATTATTACTAGTAGTATTCTGATTACCTTTGCAGTACTCTGCAATATATAACTGCAATACGTTTTACTCGTCTTTGATGTTTTTTGAGTTACATCGTGTACATACAGTATTATTAAACCAACTTTATCGTCAATTTTCACGCACGAGTGAACCTGTCAGTTGTTTGGCCGATCTAAGAGGAGATCGTTAAAGCGAAAAGGAAGTATTTTTCTATCACAAAAAAGACAACATACAAACAAAAACACAAAATGAGCAACGCATTGAAGCAAAATTCTGTTGTGAAATTCTCTTTACTAAAAATTCAATTATTCAATACCTCGCTCCCAGGAGTATCGTTCACTTGTTTCCTCCTTCCTGCAGTTATGGAGATAAGACTCCCAAGTCGCCACCGGCTCGTATTTACTCCGCCGTCTGGATGATTGTTGGCATGATAATTCTATCAATAATCACTGCTGAAGTTACATCTGGACTGATGTCTAAAGAGTTGAAGCCTCTTCACACATATTTCGGGAAAAAAGTAAGTTTTCTGCCCTCGCATCTATTGTGTGTAAGAGAAATGACTTAGAGCCTATAAGGTTGAAAGGTTGATCCAAAACACATAAAAAGCTTCTTAATGCGTGTTAAAAAATTTCCCATATTATTCGTTGAACAGAACGAAGATGAAAGATCCGTTTCATCAAAAACAGAGAATATCGATAACAACAAAATTTCGGTAAAGCACTGGTTTACAGTTAATCAAATATTGATATCCTCTTGTTTTCCAACAGTTTTCCTGCACCGGATAATAGATCCATTTACGGTTTTTTAACTTTTTACATGGACCCGTTTGTTTCTCAATAGCGAAAATCTACCGACTCCACTGAAAAAGAAAAAGACCCTAAAAAGCGAAAAAAAAAAAAAAAAAAAAGGGGGGGGCGGGGGGGGGCTGGGGGACTATATCTTTGTTTGAGTAAGACGTATAAGACGTATCACTTTTGGCAAGTTTACCAATGTTAAGGAGCCCTTTTCAGGGGTGTCGACGGACTTTCGCCCAATATATACTAAATCGAGAAAGTTAAAATTTTCTGATAACGTAACTCTATTGCTTGACAAATTTACCCTGAGTAAACAATCATACTTATATTTCAATATTAGGTTGGAGTCCCTTTATATAGCAAGCGTTTCTTTAAAGAAGAGCTCAGAGGAGCAAAGATAATAGGTATTGTAATCTGCATATGATTTGTGACGATCAGGGGCCGGTTTCTCGAAGCCTGGTTAGCGCTAACCGTTGGTTAAGAGGTATCAAAATGTATAGGTTTCCATGGTATTTAACGCTGGTTAGCACTAAACATGCTTCGAGAAACCCGGGCCAGGTGGTAGTAATATTCCATTTTATTATATAAACACCAACGAAATACCGGGTGAGCTTAATTTGGCGCGAAAACATGATATCTTAACACGTGAAAATAACATGTTTTTTTCACATGTGAAAAGATCTTCGTTGCTATAAGTACATAATAAATCGCGCTTTTCGCAGCAAAAAAGTTATTTAAGTGAAATAGTTTGGCATTTCATTGGTGTTTATATAATAATTAGAATACGAAATTTCTCTTCTCCTGTTGAAAAATATTTCACTCCTTCGCTGCACTCACTCGCGCGGCCATGTAATCTCCCCTGTATATCTAATTAAATTCAGTTTACCAGCCAGTATACCTTAAATTTCATCAAACGTGCCTCGATACTTGTCGCAATATATCGACACCTTATGGAAACGTAGTATGCCTAATATTATGACCCGAAAACATCTTTATTCATGTGACTACCGGAAGATACCGTATTCCAAACTTACAAACCACTGTATACTGTGTACCCAGAAACCCTGACAGACCCTGTAAAATTTCGGGGATGCACCACTCTCTACTTAGGTGATACTCGTTATAGCCAAAGATTCACGCCGCCTTTTCTTGCACCCTTGGCTGACCTGATGAAGTAGCAGGTTTTGTACTCCAATCATTATCTGATGTTGCTTAATGTTGCAGTTCATGAATGACATCTGCATTTATGTATATGCTTTTTAGCGATTCAACAGAATTCCAGCGAAAGTTTGATCAAGCACTTGCAAAATAGAACTTATGGAATAGAGAAAATAGTTCTTCATGGCTGTGAAGAGTTTAATGACGACACATACGAAAAGTTACAGTTTGTACGGGCATTGAGAAAGCACTACGTTGGAATACGCCTCAAAGGTGCCTCGGCCGTGAGATCGTGTGTTAAGAATATGGTGGAGGAGCATGACGATGTAAATGAATTCTTTGAAGAAGCTCCAGCATGCGAGAAGAACTCCAAAATTGATATGAACGAATACGGTTCAAGAAAAGGCTTTGACCATCGAGACGAAATCAGCATTATAATGTATGTTTCTACTGGTCTTGTTGTGTTGATGTTTGTGACAGGCTGCGTTTGGGATTTGATGAAGGCTAGGAATCTTCCCAGAAAAAAAGAAGGTAAGAGAAAGGTCTGGTTTAAAGGATTCATTCATTATTTTCAATTGCGTTTCAAGATCACAACTTTTTTCGTCTCAGGTAAACAATACCGATACGCATAAAGCTAATAAGCTGTTCTCGCCTCATCCGAATTCCGGAATCCGGGAAGAATTTGCCCGCTTAATTTTGGAATCCAAAAAAACACGAACAATTTGGCTTGTGGAATCCGAAATTCTGGGCTTTGGAATACGGAATACCACTCAAGGAATCCGAAATCCTTCTTAAGATTGGAATCAAGAATGTATAAGTTTCACGGACAAATAGTGGAATCCATCCGGAATCCACGGCGTGCAATCCAGAATCCAAGACTGTCTTTCATTTCCTTACATGGGGTGACTGTTTCGTCACGTAAGCCCCATTCTCGCTTCCAGCCCTTATATGCATTTTCTTGTTTTAGGTAGCGTTGGAGACCATGGGAGCGCAAAAATGAATGCGATAGAAGAAGAAATAGAAATCAGAGAGATCAAAGAAGACAAAGATGTGAGAAGAAGCTTGAAGGCCGCTTCAACAACTGAAGTTTCAAGAGAATAATCGAATAATCTCTATTATGCTCTTGTCGATGTGCCTTTTTTGTATTAAAAATAATGTGTAAGATAGGAAGCTAACTGAACCAGTTGGTTCTCTTGTCAGCTCCCTAAGCATTTTAGGTTCTAGGTAGCAAGGTAAATGATCAAAACAAATAGAAAAAGAAAAAAAAGCAAAGAAGGAAGACCTCATTTACATGTAGTATGATGCGTCATCAGCATAAAGCAAAATTTATTTCAGTTGTTGTTCTGACACTAGATAACGTATAATTTTTTTCGGAAATGCAGACACTCTTGAGTGGTAAATTTAAATGAGTTGGAGGGTCTTTCCAAATGCCATAAAGGAGATGGATTGTTTGCCTAAAAGAAAAAAGCCTGAGAACCTTAGTAGTGACAGCGCCATAATCTGCTCAATGTATTCAAGAGGAACGCGAACCATATGCATGGTTAAATTTGTCTTTTTAGTACATACAGTCAACTGTCTCTTAGCCGATTAAACCGCTGGGACTAGCACATTGTGTCTATTATAGGGAGGGTCCCTATTTTAAAATAGATGATCATCTAAAACAGGAGTGTAAAAGGCAGGGACTAGCTCCAGGTGTCTTACTGATGGGTTAACCTTTACCAAGAGAAAATAATGGGACAAAGGGGTAGTCTTAGGGCGTAGGCCGGGATATGTGAATTTCACATAAGTTGGTTTTAGATGTGGTATCCAAATGGAAGTCTAATTCCTGGGACGTCCACACACTTCAGTCGAATGTTTAAAACGTCATCAAGTGCACCCGCGACTGCCTCAAAGCAAACAATGCAGAATGGCGACTGTTAAATTCTATCTAAGCAACACGGAATAAACGTTTGCTGGCCTCTGGGAAAACTTTCCGAATAATTCCAAGCGTTTAATTGGTCAAAAAATAACTTTGGTGAAATTCACATATCCGGCCCAAGGGCTAGACAGGGTGTTTCCATCTCTGTTCCATTACTCTTTCCTGCCTTTTACCTTTGCAAAATTGCTTGGTCAACTTTAGCAGGTCGCGAAGAATAATTCGGGCGTAAAAAGCCAATCAGAAACTTAGAAATAAGTTGAATGAATGATAACAATAGGGTTATTTGAAAGGTTCATTAAGAACCATTAAGAAATGCTTTAAGCAAAAGAGTGTCTAAACAATGTTAATATATAGATTTAGCCAGGGCTAAAAGCGAAACTCTCATTAATAAATTTATAATTTAAATCAAACAATAAACTTGTATTCCACAATTCAGTTAACTTTAAAGCACATTCATGTGACTTTTTAGGGAAAGGCTAAGTGATTTTAGATAAAAACAATTTGCAAACAGCCCAAGAGTGAACCAATCTTACCTCGAGTTGATAGCCTCATATGTACACCCAAAAAATAGCAATAATCTTCGATCACATTTAAGAGCCATAGTGACTTTTGATCACCGTAGATTAATTAGGCCCGGGAAAAAATTAGAGGCCGAATTTTGCGTTCGACAACTTTACTTTACAAAATCTTGTCAGCAAATCTGAGTGCACTGTTTTTATCATACAGACCTCGGACAGAATGCAGTATTTTACAATTTTGCAATACAAATTGCACTCATTCAATATTCAGGACGATCGAGGGGAGCAGGGATGGCGCAGTGGTGAGAGCACTCGCCTTCCACCAATGTGGCCCGGGTTCGATTCTCGGACTCGACGTCATATGTGGGTTGAGTTTGTTGTTGGTTCTCTTCTCTGCTCCGAGAGTTTTTTCTCCGGGTACTCCGGTTTTCCGCTCTCCGCAAAAGCCAACATTTCTAAATTCCAATTCGATCCGGAATGCTCGAGCGTTTAATACATGAGCCCCTGGCTCGGGAGATTGGGCAACCACTCCTCACGCTATCGAGCTTAAATTAATTTAATTTAATTTAATTTAATCGAAGCACGCGTGGGCTTTTAGCTAAACCGTTCAAAAAATTTCCAAAATCACCTATTGGCTATTTCGGAGTTGCGTAGGGAACTGGGGCTAGTTTCAAATTTAAACTAATTGATAAACTGACACCACCATATAAAAGGTCATGTTGAGATTGGTCATTTGGCCAAGTTTGGTGCTCTAGAGTTGAACAGGGATCAAGTTATGACTCTTGAAACATGGTTAAAGATCCATACAAACCTCTGTAATTTTGAGATAGCGTCCCCCCAAACCATATAAACTCTTTATTTTTTTCACGATCTCTGTAATATTCCTAAAAATGGGCAGACACAGTGATTTTCGAATTAGTTCATTCCAAGTAGTAGATGCATGACGAATTTACAGTTTAAACAAAAAATTGAAAAATTTTAAAGAGTTTATATGGTTTTGGGGGACGCTGTCACAAAATTATAGACGTTTGTACGGATCTTTATAACCATGTTTCAAGAGTCATAACTTGATCCCTGTTCAACCTTAGAGCACCAAACTTGGTCAAATGACCAATCTTAACATGACCTTTTATATGGTGGTGTCATTTTATCGATTAGTTTAAATTTGAAACTCGCCTCAGTTCCCTACGCAACTCCGAAATGGCCAATATACGGCCAGCCGGTTCTCATTTTGCAGTGCGAGCTGTGATCGAGTGTTTGAATGAACATTAATACAGTTACGCTCCAACATAATTAGGAATTTATTATGCTTATTTTTATTTAATGGTTTTATCGATGTGTAATCTTCAAAAGCATTTGATAGCGCGGCATTTTGAGTACTCCTGGAAACGATGTTCATCGAACGACTGAAAACAAACGGCACAGCGATTAAAATTACAAGAAAGACTACTAACAATCAATAAAAGAAACATAAATCGGTGAAACATATTCAGAGACAACAATGTTAATCCACGAAGACAAGCGTTAAAGTGTCTCTAAAAATCCTGAGTCTTCAAGCTTAAAGCTTAATTTTATGTTTTAATTAAGCCGGCTTCCCGGTGTTTGCCTTTTTCAAAGATGAAATCGAGGCAAGAAAATCGCTCAAAGCTTTCTTTTACAGCCAGAATTATAGCTAAATATTATTTGGAACGTTTTCTTTCTATTTATGGTTAGAAAATGTCTTTTTAATTTTCTGTAAGCTTGTTAAATCAAACCTGATACTCAAACCTATATATATATATATCTAGCCGGATTTATGAAAACCGTAACATCGGACACCAGGAGCCCACACACCTTAAACTGACTCAACTAAAGCAAATATCGCCAAGAAACTCAGCTCTTACCCACGGTTCTCTTAAGGTGACTCTCTTCTTGGTTCCTGATTAGCAAAAGAAACATTCCAGTCCATCAAAAAGACAACCTGGACTTGTCCATACACTCTAGCTGCTTAAAGGCCCTGAATGACGGAGGACGCTTGAGACTTCAGCAAGTTCTAAGCAGAGAATTCAAGGTTAAATCACACCCCTGACTTCCTCCACCCCGCCAGCCTAGCACGTGCTTGAGGGGAATCGGACACCAGGAGCCCACACACCTTAAACTGACTCAACTAAAGCAAATATCGCCAAGAAACTCAGCTCTTACCCACGGTTCTCTTAAGGTGACTCTCTTCTTGGTTCCTGATTAGCAAAAGAAACATTCCAGTCCATCAAAAAGACAACCTGGACTTGTCCATACACTCTAGCTGCTTAAAGGCCCTGAATGACGGAGGACGCTTGAGACTTCAGCAAGTTCTAAGCAGAGAATTCAAGGTTAAATCGCACCCCTGACTTCCTCCACCCCGCCAGCCTAGCACGTGCTTGAGGGGAATGCTTTCATTGGCCAATGGGCCTCAAACGTTACAAGAATTTGACATGACAAACTAAAGGCAGACATGACCAGTGCACTGACTCTCCCAGACCAGGACTAACGGAAGGTACAACGCTTTTGCAGCACCCTCCCCCCCTAGGGATTGACATGGAGGCCCCTTTCCAACCCATGGCGAGTTAGCTCAGGGACTGAACTTGACAATGAGACCAAGCAGGACAGCAAGCCCCCTATGTTTTTTCTCACCGCAGTGAGCAGAAAGCTGGCTATCGCCAGCTTTCTGTGCGAATATTCTGGTGCATTTTGAGGCATGTTTTCAAAAATTCGGCTAGGTATACATCAAACCTGATACTCAGTCAGATCATTTTCTCAAATCTTTCAAACGTACGTGCATCAACTAAATAGCTGCATAAACTACTCTCGACTTCATTAAATTAGATATGAAAAACAAACATCAAATACAATAATTACTCAGGCTTACCATTGGAGATGCAGCTCCCGAAAGGTATCAAGTAAGGCCAGCATCGGTTCAGACTTTTCAGACTTTTCAACCTTCTTACGCATCAAGCAAGGTCTAAAACGAAAACGGTGCCATCCAAAATAGACTCGAAATCAGATTTCCGACTTTGACAAGTGATGTATTTCTCAACCAAAAACCCAGTAAACAATCTAGCCATGAATAACAGAAGACCCC